CCCCAAAACCCCAAAACCCCAAAACCCCGGACTGGAATGGTAAAATTGAAATTTGTTAAATCTATAGTAGCATATTAACAATTTTGAAGCTTTTCATCTAGACAAATTTATGCAATAGTATACCTCGAGATATATTCTTGTAAAGCTTTATATTATCTTAGATAATTTTAAGAGAGAAATTTTAAACTCTTTTCAGTCAGTCTAACTAATTCTTAGTTAAGACTTACATCGTAGACTATTTTTATTTCATCTTGAATTCTAAAACCTCTTGGTTTTAACATACCAAACAATTTTTCTCACACTAAGAATTCATCCTAACAATCCAATATACATAAAAAGACAATTAATTTCCTCAAATCAGCCAAAACCCTCTCCCAAATACTCTTTCCCATACCCTAATAACCCCATCCAGCCCCTTCTTTGACTCTTAACCTCTACCACTCTTTCCTAACCCCAAACATTCCTAGCCCCTCTTCATTACCCTTTCCTTGCCTATTTCACCCACAAAAAACTACGAAGAAACTTATTATGCCTGGAACCACTGGAATTAATTTTCTTCATGATCTGGCTGGACATAAGTGATCTTTGTTTTAGAATTTGTTCTTGGAATTTTGGAGAATTTCTTGAGGGTTTGGGTCGGATGGGGCTAAATAGGTTGGGTTTTGGGGAGGGAGGAAGTAGAGATCGTACTGGAGTTGGGGATGTTTACGTCTGTTTGATGGACTAGGGTGTTCTGGTGTGGGTGTGATGGGTTAGAGGGATTGTTATTTGTTCGAGTTGGATCCTGTAAGGGTTAGTTTGGGTAATTACTTGGAAAGTTAACTCAGAGATTGAACTTTCTTGATGCTCAGTGAGGGTATATGCTGATTTCTGATATCTTTAGGAATGGTTATTGAGGAAAAAGATAGGAATAACATAATTAAGACGCTAAGCTTATACTTTTTATTAATAGAGTTCACATTTATCCAGTTCATGTTGACATCATCTTTGGTTTCTTCTTTAGGTTCAAGAACTTTTGGTGTCAGTTCAGATATATTTTCCAATTGAATTTGAAGATCTTTATGCTCATCTATAGGCTTAGTACTCCATTTATTCCTGGAATTGAAAACATCTCTGAGCTTTTCTTTACTATTATCATTTCCCTGATGCTTTTCTTCTTTTAATTTGGCCTTTTCTTTTGTTTTTCTTTTCTTCCTTAGCTCTTGGATTTTATCTCCTCTTCTTTTAGAGTCAGATCTTATAGATGGAGCAATAGAAGAGATTTCGATTGCATTTTGTTTGACAGCATTCGAAATGGTGTGCTTTCCACTGATAGTTGGTCCCTTAACCTGTCTCTCTGAAACTAGCTTCCTAATTTTTTCAATGTCTTTGGTCCGGCTGGTATCATTGATTTCTGCAAGTTGAGAATCAATTTTTTTCAATTTTTCCTCAAAATTCATTATTTGAACGTCTTTTTGATGTATTTGATCATTAAGCTTATTGATCTTTTGAACTTCCTCTTGACTATACTGCTCTAAAAGCATTTTAAACCCAAATTTTCAGCATAAGGGATTATTTTCTAACTTAGATAAGATTTTGTGCATCTGCTTTTGTCCTTCAATGTAAGACATTTTTGATTTTATCTTCGTAATCAGATTATTGCAATTAATTTTTACTGCATTTCTGAAGCTTTCAAAAACTTTCTCTTCCTCTTCATTTTCGAATCCTTCTTCTTTTATTGTAAAATCTTTTAAATCTCCCAAACACATCTCTATGCCTTCCAATGTTCTCATTATCGGTTTAAATTCTTGAGATACTGATCCAGAAATACTAGAACCCTGATCATTAATACTTTCTGTCCCTTTCTCACTATACTCATCACTATTGGTATAAAAATATCCCGAAGCTTCCATTTTTATCTTTAAACAATACATCACTACTCCAAAGGGGTTTTGGGGTTTTGGGGTTTTGGGGTTTTGGGG